AACAATAAACTAAGCACTTAGTCGACCGTGTGGGTTAAGTTTATTCTGAGAGGCTTGATGTAATATCCAAACAGTTGTAACAGCAGCACTGTTATGTACTTGTGACTCAAACTAGAAGCTTAGGAAAGATCAATGGAGTTCAGGGGTTTCAAATAAATTAACAGATTCTCGAAATCTCATACTAACCGGCACCGAAACACGAGGATGAGAAACAGTTTGAATGCAGACTGACAAATATTTTAAGCAACGATACCCAGTAGTGGTGGGGAACGAAAGTCACATAGGCGAAAGGGTAATGCCAATGCGTCACACTAAATTACTGTTCCAAATCGTCGAGAATACGTTTAGTGGAATTCGGCTACGAGCTAGACTATTTCGGAACCATAGTTCGCTCATTCCAGGAGGTTAGGTCGGTTAGCAGAACACTTAGTAACAGTTTAACCGGGTGCCAGTTATCCATAATCTTCAAGCAGTGTGGATGGGAAATTGGCACAAGTCCCATAACTGAGATCGAGGCCATTTCCAATTAGAAGGGAGGAAGAGTGGCAAAACTAGATAGGTTGGTTCTGGAAGTCCTTAAGAATGATTATACAGTCTTATATGTTAAGTTGACTGATATATCAGTTAGAGCGCTATCTATGAAATTTGGAGGTACGTGTAGGTTGGAGATTCATGATGTCATCGCAATCAGTTGTTTGCGTACCGTGAGACGGAAGGTTGAGCGACGGTACAGTTAGCAACTGTGGGGTTGTTATGGTTAATTGCGTTGTCAAAATGCGAATACTTGTGAGCTCCACAATGTCATCTAAGATAAACTGTGTTTTTTGTAATTTCGGAGAATACTTTAAGCACCTTTCATTGTATTCACGTATTCAGTGATCCAACCGATATCAATATATAATCTATGGAACATATATATGAAGGGACGCTAGGACATGCCGAAACAGTTTATCAGCATTGATAAGTGTTAAGTCTATATATTGTCCATTTGGTTCAAAAAGACTGGTATGTCACGGTTGGAGAAGTATTGAATCTCTATTTCGACCAGAAGACAAGTAATGAATACCTCTTCATTGTACGTAATTCCCGACCGTCACCTAAGTATCTATCAGCGAACCCCAGTCGTTACACGCGGCACAACTAAGTTGTCTGTATCTAGCAAGATAGCCTGAACCACTTAGTCATTTTCTGCTTCCGAACTACGATCGGTTGTCGAAGGTGCTTTATGAATGTATTGGAGATGGAGTATACGTCGATGTAATGAGATTTTAAGGTCTTAGCTAATAAAACTATTTTTTGACATTCATTTTTTAGTACTGAGATATCGTTTTGTAAACTTCGATCGTTCGGTTTGGTGGAGCGTAAAATTCGTAAACATCAGACAAGTGTGGGTGGTCTAATTCGAATTACCTTTCAGCGATTAAGATGCGCTTTGCTTGTCGATTGGATAGCCTGATATGTTGTAGATATTCCTCGTTTCCCTGTATGCTATAAGGATATTTCTTGAGGGATATGAAAAAGAGAAAATGAATCGGTAGTAGTCTTTTCAACCTGAAAACGTGATTCCAAGCTGAATAAACAAGTGTTTGAGGCCCGTCATGCTGCATTTTCGTGACAAGTCTTTGTCGAGTTAATTATAAGATTCTAAAGACCTCTTCGCTTGTGATCGGTAGCGTTGGATAAGGCGAGGTGAATTAGGACTGACATTTTCTAACATCTAATTTCCTCTGTAAAAATACTGTCCAGCTAGATGTTGGTTATATGAGTAAAGCTTTAATACTATCATCACCTTGTATTGGCAGCGGTATACCTTCACCCATGGACCTTCAGCTATGCTTTTAGTTTTACCGACCTATTTGACACCCTAGTATCTAAAGTAACAAGTGTTACAGCATATATAATTCCCTTGGTTCATCATGATTTGCAATCCCTTGTTTAAGTCAAAATCGTTACGGGAGTATCATCAAGTGCATTCAATAATTCATAGTAATGAATAGAAGACTGTGGATAAACTCTAAGTCATCTAAGTGTATCATAATAAGTAATTGTGCTTGTTTTCGTTTATCTAGTCAAGCGATTGCATACATTTTGGAATAATTTCTATCATAGAATCAATTGGTAGTATGACTTTCGCTAAGTTGTAACTGTCCTTTCTTTGTCGATGACTGCGCTACACTTGACACGTCCGTAGCACGACCGAGTGATATTTTCGTCGTAGAAAAAGATTAAACTTCCCATATGACCCAGAAAAAGACGATAGAGAACGAAACGGCCTACATCTTGGGTCACGATAGTGTAAACGCTGATTCTCAATTCCTTTTGCTTGATCGACATATAAAAGGTCAAACTTCAGAACGATAGTGGGGTTTGTTCTAACCCGGATATCGTGTCACGTATATCCAACTGTCTCAAAAAACAAGGGCCACTAATTCATGTCACATATACTTCCAGAAAAATAAAGTCTACAAAAGTTCATGAGGGAAAATCCTGATTATTTCCACCCGTCTTTCGATGCTACAAAATAATCAAATTCAAGGAAATGTGGAAACTTCTTCACCCATGATTAATGATTGCTAGATTAGAGAAATTCATTGTTGCCAAATTTCCAATATTTTCTATGATATAATATGATGGAAAACATTTGTGGGCCACTGTCTCATTTACTATATTTATACAGTACTCTAGATCTTACAGTCAAAGATCACATGGAACTTAGAAGAACTGTCCACTAATATCAAAGTCAAAAATCTACAATACGAACGTCAAAATAGTTCTACAGTACGGAAATGAAACGTAGAGAACTACTACACCCATCATCAAGAAGGTACAAGTATTTGTAAACAACTGTCTACTTAAGATACCCAGTGTCCGCTGATCAGATTCCATCAGCACCAACCTACTGTGAGAGGGGGAGAGAGAGAGCAACCCATCCTCCAGTTGAAGAGGAAATTATGAAGATATTGGAGGTGAATGGGACAAATATTGGGGAAATCACCAAACTGCATCACGAGAAAAGCGCTTACTTGGAATCCTGATGGGAAACACAAAAGAGGTAGGCCGAAGAACACACTACTCAGAAGACATGAAAAGGATGAATGGCAACTGAACACAACTGGAAAGAATTGCCCAGAACATGGTTGCATGTAGAGTACTGGTGGGCGCCCTATGCTTCTTCACGTGGGGTAACAGGAGCAAGTATTCAAGTCTAGATCTACGTTTGATTGGGAGGATCATTCAATTTTGACACAGAAAATCAGCCTGTGTCCAAAAAATAATATTTTCTACAATCAGAACATTATATTTCTTAGCGTGGGAGGTGGGGTGGCGACATATATTCACAACCACTTCGAGGCTGTAAAACCAAACAGTACTGAACTAACCAAGGTGAAAGAATCCTGCTGATATTGCTCCAAAGTTATCGGAAAGATGTTCTTAATTGGAGGAACACACCAACGACTCACCAGCCCTAAAACCCAATAATTTAAGATGATACTGAGATACTAGCGTTATCACACCTGGTTTTTGACCAAACACTACTTGCCGGAGACCTCAATACTTCCTCTGAACTACAGCAAGTAGGAACAACGTGTATAGGGCGGTTGCGTGAGTGTCTCTGGAAGTTCAAGACTAACTGAACATGTTGATGGCGCTACGAGGTGGGATTTGGACGGAAAACCTTCGAGCTTAATTTTTTAACTGACAACTGATCTTTTTCTGGCGAGTATGTCCACTTCCCTTCCCCAGTAGGAAGTTCTGACCAAGGTATAGTCATTTTCGATGTGATTACAAACTAAATACCTTGGCAACCCGAGAATGTTCTATAGCTTAGCTAAACTATAGAAGACTACGTGGCGGCTTGGGAGCATCTTTATTACCTCACATGGCTACAAGAATGGTGTGGGCAAACAGTGTGTAACTACTGGGAGGTAGAAAGGTACATCGTTCAGAATCCTATACAACACAATCTAACTCAGGTTAAGCATAAATCCGGGAAGCAAAGATCCTGGATCAAGTGAGGCATGGAACGCTTGCTTCAGGCCAAACGGAGAGCCGGGCACAAGTCAAAGGTTTATTCGATGGAATCTGATCATCACTCTTAAATAGGAACGAGAAACCGATGTGAGACTGTTTCCGTCCTTGCTAGCGACAAGATGCAAGCTTGCTTAAAATATCACTGTAGATTCATGACCCGGAGAAGGCCCACAAACCGAGTGATATGAGCCCTTAAATGCGAAATGGCGAGGTTCTCACTAACTTAGAGATCGCAAACCAACTTAACTACGATCCCTCACATTCAGATTATCTCTCCGTTTTACTACCAGTTGAAGGAGTACTGTAGATACGTTCAGGGACGTGTTTTCATTCCAAATAAAGATCATAGTTCCGACTGAAACCTGGCTCTCTCTTGACATCACGGACGAGGAAATGAATGTACAAAGCATGATAGACTTAAGGAGTAATGAGGGGAACTAATTAGGTGTGATGATCATATTTACTTAGATCCCATAAAGCATAATAATCTTTTCAATGACTGACTTTTAGAAGCCTAGCCAATTTTGCATTGGCACGAATAATGCTAAGTAGCTGGTCAGAGGAAAACACGACTCTTCCACAGGCGCTGATAAGCAAAAGGGACACACTGTAGGATAGACCATAGACACACATACTCTTTACTAGTAATCAAATACAGGAATTCTCTGCAGACTAAAATGGTGTAAGCGATTTTCCAAGAGTTATTGAAGAGGAGACGTAACATTTTCTAAAGTGCTCAGGACAGCATCTAGCCATAATTTACCAATATCTCCTCTTTTGCTCATTATATATACCCAAGTTACTATTAGGAGACAACGAAGATCAATTACTACTAGATACGGAATTCCGTTAATCGAAAGCTTATGTAATAACGTTCATAACTTTTTTATTCATTTGAATATTAAACTGCTTACATTCTTACTGGATATTTTCCCGGAGTTTTGATTACTGGCGTTACGGTTTTAGTTATGCTAAGGTTCAATGTTGTTCTGGGTATAACAGTTATCTGTTTTCTACTGCATCATGGCTTCACATTTATATTTTATGTCGTCATTGCGACTCTTTCCTTTGCTGCTGGGTATTACACATTCGTTTTGATATTTACAACTTGTTCCTAGTTTCTTTTTAATGAATGAACAGCCTGTTGTGCATTTCCGCAAGAGAGATCTTTTATTCTCCAAAGGGATTCCAAAGGTGACGGCTATCATGGATGCTGAGGGTGTCACGAGACCGAATATACGTGTATCTCCTCATCAGGACCTAGACTACGTGCTTAACCAGGTAGTTTTGTAAATGTTTCTATCACCGCAGATTGTAAGCTACATTATCAGAGACTACATAACTCCTTGGTACAACTCTCTCACACCGGACGATTCATTTCCAATGGAACTCCATAAGCTCCTTTTACGGGTTGTTGCGAATGTGGTTAGAAGGTAAACGCCTCTGTAGTTAGTAATTTCACCAGAGTTTCCGACGTGGATTGGGTGCCTTTTTTTACTGAAACGCTTCCTTCTTTCATGTCTGCCCATGTTCGTGTCTACCGAAATATGCTGGACAGAAAGGCAACCTATCCTGACAGAGGTATTTGTCGTATTACCTAGTAAAACTGAAGATTATGCGAAATTATTTTTTGATGTTGAGGCTGAGACAGAGAAAAGTATATGTCACGAAGAAATCTGTAATTCTGAAGATCGGGAAAAAGGCTAGTATAAGGATTGCTCTAACCTTTCCAATAGACCATCTTCGTTTGCTAAGTGATATGTTTTTATTCTTTGTTACCCCTACTGAGGAATATGGTGTGCCTGGTATACGATATATAACCCGGGTAAGGTACTTACTTTTCTAATGTTGTAGGAGTTGCTGGTTAATTCTGTCCTGATGCCAATGATCAACTTGTTATCGGATCCCGATTTCGTTAACAGAACCATAGCTTGGTTTGTGAGTACACTTTCCTATGCGTTTTGTTAGTAACTAGTGGTTTGATTTCTTCATGTTGTTTATTTCCTCTGTTAATATTTCCTTCATACCAAATATATTTAGTCTTAGGTTGATTCAAATAAAATAAGCAGATTTGTCCATCGTATCTTTCCCCACCTATCATGAATCTCCAACCTACACGTACCTCTCAATTTCATAGATCGCGCTCTAACTGATATATCAGTCAACTTAACATATAAGACTGTATAATCATTCTTAAGGACTTCCAGAACCAACCTATCTAGTTTTGCCACTCTTCCTCCCTTCTAATTGGAAATGGCCTCGATCTCAGTTATGGGACTTGTGCCAATTTCCCATCCACACTGCTTGAAGATTATGGATAACTGGCACCCGGTTAAACTGTTACTAAGTGTTCTGCTAACCGACCTAACCTCCTGGAATGAGCGAACTATGGTTCCGAAATAGTCTAGCTCGTAGCCGAATTCCACTAAACGTATTCTCGACGATTTGGAACAGTAATTTAGTGTGACGCATTGGCATTACCCTTTCGCCTATGTGACTTTCGTTCCCCACCACTACTGGGTATCGTTGCTTAAAATATTTGTCAGTCTGCATTCAAACTGTTTCTCATCCTCGTGTTTCGGTGCCGGTTAGTATGAGATTTCGAGAATCTGTTAATTTATTTGAAACCCCTGAACTCCATTGATCTTTCCTAAGCTTCGAGTTTGAGTCACAAGTACATAACAGTGCTGTTGTTACAACTGTTTGGATATTACATCAAGCCTCTCAGAATAAACTTAACCCACACGGTCGACTAAGTGCTTAGTTTATTGTTCGTAAACTGTACTTCTGACCATTTTTTCAGAATTAGTTTTAAAGGGTCTTCCTTCTGTGACTTTCATGGGCCCGGCAAGTCACAGACAAACGCGTGTTTACACTTCAGGATGGAGTGTGAGAACATGTGCGTTGGAGAACCAGTAGTCGTGAATCGAGTTTTAAAGACGAGGTCTGTGTTGAGTCGATGTTGGGGGTCATCGGAAATTATCCTTCCTTATGATTACAATTTTCATTTTCTAAAACTGAGTGGTCCTTTGTGTATGGTTATTCAATCACAACATAGAACCTATACGCATGTACATCAGTCCAGGTTCCTATACCCGATTAGCACAGAAAAGTGAAGTCAGACCAAATCTCAGAATAGTAGAGGTAGTAACAATATCAGTGGTAATAGGAATTCACGAAAAGGAAACATAAATTAATGAAATGAAAGCAAAAAGTTATGAGGAAGTTAAAAGCTCAGGATTTGGGAAAGACGAAGAATGGATGCACCTGAGCCATTGCAAACGATTTCGAGCCATATCATTCAAGGTGTCTAACTACTGGTTACGACAATCACGTGAACCCCAACCAGGTAGTCTGTACCTATCAACGTAGTTCAATCCAGTTGTCAGTGACTTCACGCACTGATGCAATGTTTTGACTTGACCGCCCCTAGCCTTCTTGCAGGCAACCTTGCACCAGAGAACTTCGCCCGTCGAGGTAGGCGGTGGCTAGGTATACGTAACACATCCCAACCACATAAATTGATAAAAATTGACTACTTCGTCGATCGATCTACCGCACTTATCTAGTACTCTTTCTAACCGAGCCGCCTCGCAGCTAAGTGAAGCGGCAGATGCTTTCAACTACACTTCCTATCGTTGGTTTAGGCGATGACGCGAGCCAATCCTGAAGTGACATTCCAGATTTGTAGAGAGTATTGTATCCGATAGTTGGAACAGATGGTCACTTCTGTCCATTTCTTGGGCCCTCACTGATGAACTCGCCCAATTGTCGCTCAACTTGGTTTTCATTTTCTACTTGGACGTGAAAACCCTATTCAGTGAAACTATAATTGATGAACGACACTAAAGTCACATTGAGGACGTTCACTTATTTAATAGGGCTGAGTGGGGGTTATAGGCCAGTGTGGGGAATTAAGATTATGATTGACAGTTGATGGTGAGGGTTAAGAACTAGACTTAGGATTTTCATCGAGAACTGACATTAACTTAAATGCCAAAACGCTTTCGAGCTAAATGGATGTCGCGCTGAAATCCAAGACCTGTTATTCTAAATCTCATTTGTCCGTCCATAAATTATAGTCTTGCCATCCATTCTATGATTGATCTGTCAGAGAGCTTAGCTTTTTGAAGCTTATTGGACCTTCTATAGAACTCGATTTTTTTCAACATCGGAACTGTGGTCAGTGCTTGCATAAACCGAATCGATGTATAAACTTATCTATTATAAAACTGTCGGATGAAATGTTTTTATAGTGTGATATTTAAGGTATTTGCGATAAGTTAGCATACTTTAAACGTTATACTTCTTGTATGTACATAAGTGAAATATATGGTTTCGTACACGTTTGTGTGGTAAATTTTGATTGTCCATTTTTGACCGTCACAAAGCGTTTTGCTACACCTCTAAAGGCCTATGAAGTTTCTAACGGCTTTCGCTATACAGATAAAAAAGTGCAGGTTTAGTTTTAGTCACTTGACCATCGGAAGGCTTTTTGCTGTCCTTACTAGTAACAAAATCGTGTTTCATCTGTCAAATTTTGTTCGTCTGATCCCATAATACCTACATTTTATGCTTTGCTTTCAATTTTTTTTTTCTAAATAGGCATCAGATAGTGCCTATACGAGTGAGTATTTCTGCCAAGCACTACGCATGTCTGAAAGCACTGAAGAGATAGATGTTGTCATTCGTCAGCTAAATAGTTTCATGGATAAACTTCGGGGTCACGACACTGGTGGTGATGATGGTAAACAGATTTATTTTTGGTTTCTCTACATATTTGTTTTACGTTGTCTAGTTTTTGAATAAATAAAGTACATCTATCAATGCTTAGAAGCAAGAAAAATTGGTTCAGCGATTGTATATCTTCAAAAATGAATTTGCTAAAAAGAGAACTTTCCGTTGAACCAACCTTTCTTGTTTGTAAATTACTGGAAACATACTCTACGCAAGTTAAATGATTATATTGTCCAATACGGAAGATGGAAGAGATTTACAATCGAGAAATAAATGTATGAAAATAGTTTGTTTAAGGTTAAGACGAAAATTTTTGAATTCCATTTGGGGTGAACTATCTTACTATTTGTGATAGAATGTAATTAAAAACTACACCAGGGCCACCACTGCCTTCTATTCTGAGCCATATTTGATAACGTTTTAAGCCGCTGATTTGTACTGTCTAAAGGAATACAACAGGAGAATTGTGAGTGATCAACAGATTCCAGTCCTATATAACTGTCTTTCTTAACATGAGGATTTATCAAAATCTTGTCACTATCTGAGCTGTTCTTATTACAGGTCCTTGAACATGTTAATAGGCTTCTGTGATATCTTCCTCTAATAAAAAAATCCGGAATTTCCTGTACATCGAAAAAGAGTGTTTCTTAAGTTAGATATATAGAGTTGTTTATAATAACATGCAATATTGGAGTGTTAATAGTCGTGTCGAAATTACAATGACAGATTACGTCAAAATGATGACGAAGGACACCAAAGTATGCGAACTGTTACAATAAAACAAGCTTTCAACGAACACACTATAATTGAAACTGCCTTTCGCAAGTATTCAGAAGATACGGTTGCCATAAAAGATATAAATTGAATGTCATCAGCTTCTGTAAGTACTCAAGAACATTATTTGACAACATATGTAGGTCAAATTATATCCTCGAAAGTTATTAGAAATGAAACGGGTTACTGAATATTGATAAGTAGTGTAGACTGATACACGAAAGGGAGTGAAGTTCGAAAATAAGGATAGAGAATGTAACTGAGCTTAACATTAATTCCGAAGGTTTTCCAGCATTTGACGGCGTTGGAAGATTCAATCAATGCATCCGTAACGCGGACTAAAACCATTCTTCTATAAATAAAAATAATATTATTCTTGCATTGTTCCGTTGTACTATTTAAACTTGGATTAATTTAATTTGGTTATTTATTCTCTGAAGAAGTGACTTACACTAAGCCACGAAACGTCAGAAAAATCGAATTTTCTACTCATTGGAATATTACAAATATATTATTTTTATTTATAACAATCAACCCAATGCTCAATTTATTCGAAATTATCAAATCAAACCTTGGTAATGACACCTATATTCTTCCATAGTTTGTAGTGTATGACCGGTACTGTACAATTGTCTCATAAATTACGTAGATTCCTTTCAACAATCGCATTTTTCTGATGGTTATTAAGCACACACAAAAGTACATCGTTTCCCACTCCAGCCTCTCGCTTTGTAGCAGTCTCCTAACCTAATATCACACAAACGACTATTAATTGGAATCTAGTTGATTAATGCTTCAGTGAAGTGGAGCGACATCAGAAGCTGCAAACGTATGATAGCTGGTCATCAAAATGGGTTCGTATACCATTCGTTTCTGCAGATTTCTGCAATCCACATACACCAATGGTTTGAAATCATGACTTTTCAAATTCTCTAAGTGATACTTCCGTATTCACCAACACGGTTTAAACTCGGAACATACACTTTCGTTCTTTTTACTCTTAAAAATCCCTCTGTTTTGAAAAGGCGATGAAACAGTCAAATACGACAATGTTAATTCTACAACTATCTAACTCAGAGTAAACAACACTACGAAAAGTGTTTTTCTCTTGATATAAATTTTAAAGTTCTTCAATTTGCCTTGTAGATAAACAGCTTGGTAATCTCAGTAGCATCATTTAATCAATAAAATTGTTATGTTATTTTCATTAATTTGTTCATTTCAATAAGTAAGCAGTAGTCTTATTGATTTTTTAGATGCTCTTATTAAAGCGCAACTTGGAAGTCTCGATTATGTCAGAAAAATATGTTTAATTCGTCGAAGGCAAATTCAAGAAGGTGTAGCTGAAAAAGTAAGCTTTTACAATTCTATATTGTATTGTCCACGTATTCATCCTTTGTCAAATATTTTTCTTTCAACTCCTCCTATGTTCTGTTTATAGCCCGGACGTGTATTAGCTTATCACTTACAACCGGATGCACGAATTTATGATATGTCATTTCAAGAATTAATGACTAAAAGTGTTGCAGTTGTTAGCTTTTTAGGTAAGTGTACTTTCTGTATTATGATTCTTTTTATTCTTTTGGACTGTATACTGTCATTTAATTGCTAGAGTTCATCTACTTATACCTATAACATGGGAATATCTGTGCCATATTTCTTTATTTTGACTATCAAGTCTCGGCACGGATTCAGAAAATTCAGTGGGAGTTTGTCAACTTACCTCACTTACGGCGTAATTTAGACATCCGTCTTCCAACTAATTGGTATGTATGGTGCACAGCAGTCCGCTCTGTTTTAATTTATGGCTATGAGATATGATCTATGAAATTAGAAGACATGCGTAGGCTGAAGGTTTCTGATCATAGATGTCCTCGAAGCATTTTTCGCGTTTCGTGGAGCGACTGAATAAGCAATTTTGAGGTTTTGCGCCATTGAATGTTTAGCAAACCTGGCAAGTCAGTTAATGAGATTGTTAATCTCCATCGATTGAGGTAGTCGACTTAGAATAAGCGAATGACATAGTCCTGTTTGGTGAAGACGCTGACAAAATTCAGTGTCTTTTGGTAGCACTGAGTAACAATGCCAGAATGTTTGGAATGCACTTCTCACCCTCTAAATGCAAGTTGTCGCTTCAGGACTGGTCTGTGTCAACACCTGAATTAAGGATAGGAAGTGAAATAATCGAACGCGTTGACAACTTCACTTATCTTGGAAGTCTGATCAGCCCTAATGGGTTGGTGTCTGACGAAATCTCTGCACGGATTCAAAAAGCTCGTTTGGCCTTTGCCAACTTACGTCACCTATGGCGAAGGCGAGATATCCGTCTATCAATAAAACGACGAGTATGCTGCGCGGCAGTCACCTCTAGCTTTCTTTCAACCTACTTCTTGCACTAGCAACCATTGGTCGTCGAGGTAAGTAGAGGTTAGGTATGCGTAATACATGCCCCGACTACCTCAGTCAGTCAGTCAGCCACAACGTAGGACCAGGCACATTTATGCATCGGTCCAAGTTGCCATACCTCATTAACACAAAAAGATGGACACCGGATTCACAAAAGTAGTGAATTCAGGAGGTGGTAATATACAAAAGAAAGATCACATACAAGGATATAGTACAGGAAGAAAGAATTAGTTAGTAGAAAGAAAGATATGAAGTGATTTTAATCTCTTAGTTTAAGGGAAGACAGGGAGTGTATGCACCGACGCCATTGTGATCGATTCTGAGCCATGTCACCAAGAGTCTCCAACCATCGGTTACGAAAGTCACGCGGACCCCAACCAAGTAGTCTGCATCTACTAACATGGTTCAGACTAGAAGTTAGTGTCTTCAAGCACTGATGCCACATTTTGGTTTGGCCGCCGCTAATTCTCTTCCAACCATCCCGAACGCCGGTTAGCATTGCACGTCGTGGTAGTCGGTGTTCAGGCATACGTAACACGTGGCCCAACCATCTCAGTCGATGAAGATTCATGACCTCATCAACTGATTTACCATCATTCCCTAATACCCTGCGTCTAACCTCACTATTACTTACCAGGTGATCCCAACAGACGCCAGCAATATTTCTAAGGCATCTGTGGTCAAATACTAGTAGCTTACGAGTGACTTCTACTCTTAATGGCCATGTTTCGCTGCCGTAAATTAAAACAGAACGAACTGCCGCGCAGTATACTCGTCCTTTTATTGATAGACGGATATCCCGCCTTCAAAATAAGTGACGTAATTTGGCGAAAGCCAAACGAGCTTTCTGAATCCGTGCAGAGATGTCGTCAGACACCAACCCATTAGGGCTGATCAGACTTCCAGGATAAGTGAAGTTGTCGACGCGTTCGAACACTTCACTCCCTATCCTTAGTTCAGGTGTTGACGCAGACCAGTCCTGAAGCAGCAGCTTGCATTTAGAGGGAGAGAAGTGCATTCCAAACATTCTGGCATTGTTGCTTAGTGCTACCAAAAGACTCTGCATTTTGTCAGCGTCTTAACCAAACAGGACTATATCATCTGCGTGTTCTAAGTCGACAAGTGAATCTCCTGGAAGGGAGATCATTGCCTGGGAATTCAGTAGACGAGAATGTTATTTCCATCAATAGGTCTATGATGAAGTTAAACAGAAATGGGGAAAGTGGACAGCCTTGACGGACACCACTTGAGGTTGCAAAAGCAGACGATAGTTTGCCATAAGCTCTGACTCGACTAGTAGTGTTCGAGTAAAGAGCCTTTACAAGGTTTATGTAGTTCTGAGGTACGCCTTTCAATGACAGACACTGCCACAGAATCTCTATCGGTCTGCCGAGTCAAATGCTGCTTTTAAGTCAAGAGAGACCATCATTGTCGGACGTCGATAAGTATGCCTGTGTTCTAGAACCTGACGAATGGTGAATATGTGGTCGATGCAGCCATGAACAGGTTTGATTCTCTCGTGTTTGCAGTTCACGAGTTTTAGTTAGGCGTCTGATGATTATCAAGGCTAGTATTTTAGATACTATATTAGTTAAACTAATCCCTCTGTGGTTGTCACAAGATGATTTTGACCCTTTCTTATATATTGGGACGATAAGTGATTGTGACCAGTTAGATGGAATAACGTCTAACTCCCAGATTTTAGCTAAAATATTAGTCAACCTAACCGCTAAAATTGGACCACCATCCTTAAAGACCTCTGGAGCAAGTCCATCTGGACCAGCTGCCCTTCCTCGTTTCAGATTAACTATAGCCTTCTCAACTTCAGCAAGAGTTTGGGGACCTACTTCAATGTTCCATTCACACTGTCTGGGAATGGAGGGTAGTTGTAGAGTAGCTGAAGGCCAGTTGAACTGTTCTCTGAAATGTTCCGCCCATCGTTCTAAACGTCTGGACTGGGAGCAGATGAGAGTATCGTCTTTTTCTGATATAATCTCACTTACACTTGACTTATTAATTCCAGTTTCTTTTATTAGTCTGTAAAGTTGTTTTTTGTTCCCTATAGTCGCCGCCTTTTCCATCTCTTTTGCTTTCTTTGCCCACCACTGCTCACGGTCGTTTCTTAGACTTTTTCTTAACCTAGATCTGATTTGTTGTCGCTCTTCATCATGTTCGGAACCTGACGGGACGAGTTTGCGAGAATCCATCAGTGTGATAGACTTTGAAGAAATCTACTGGTTCTTTGTAACTCTGTGGTTTAAGTCACTAATAGATTTCATTGCTGTTTCTACAGCTGTTTGTATATCTTTCCAAGCAACATCTGGGTCAGCCTCGTTTTCAGAACTACCTAAGTGTGACCTCAGTTGTTCCTGGAACCTACTTTTGGTTTTCTCGTTACTCAACTCAGTTCTAATGGTTCGTTTTAGTGTGGCTTTTTTTTGCGTCCATTGAGGCGCAAGCAGATGCGTGCCCGTATTAGGGCATGGTCGGAGTCCAAGCAGGTACTCCAGAATGAGCGACAATCTTCTACCGACCCTCTCCAACGATGACTGATGGCAATATGGTCTATTTGAGTCCATCGTTGGTTTGGTGTAGGGGGTCGCCATGTTGGACGATGTCTCTCCTTATGCTTAAAATTTGTTTGCTATAAATAAGCGATTGTCTGAGCATAGTTGCAGCAGACGATCACCATTATCTGTTCGTTGTGCCGGTATACTAAAATACCCACCTAAATGCCTTTCTGTTTGGTTTAAACTACCTATCTGGGCTTTAAAGTCACCTGCTACGAGTACTATGTCTGCAGGTTTAGCTTTCTGAAGAAGTTCAGATAGCTTTCTGTAAAATTCATCTTTCATTTCATCTGAGCTGCAGTCGGTGTGAGCGTAGGCAGAAACGACAAAACGGCAACGACGTGTGTCCCTATCCTTCCGAGTTCTTACGGAGCCGTTTAGCCGAACAGCACATAGACGACTGTTGACGGGGATCCACTCTAACAGTGCTTGTTCCACCCTTATGCTTAGTGCTATCCCTACTCCTGCCAGTCCACGAGAGCTGGCCATCGGGTCACCAGATACACGGAGGGTGTATCTCGTTGGCTCTCCGTTTTGCCGAGGTGAGGTCAAGTGAATAACCACACTGGAATCCTGTATGCGTGTTTCGGAGACACAGCATACATCAATGGAAAGAGACTCTAGGGTTTTAGCCAAGGAAGCCTGTTGACCGATTTGACCTAGGGTGCGTACATTGAAGGCTCCAATGTGTAGTGTGGAGCGAGGTTTCAGTAGACCTGGGACAGTGTTTTGAGCACTAGAATCATTGGCTATGGTGACACTTGAGGGGGAGGCCGAAAAAAGAAGTTTAGAGTTTGAATTTGATGTATGAGGAATAATAAGAATTGAAGAGGGAGGTTGATTATGAATACAGTGATCTTGAGTGATGTTAGAGGTATGAGGGCGGTTATCACTTCCCGGTTGCCCACACCGTGGAAGGGTCCTTCTGGAGGTACCTGAAAAGGAAATCGGATTAGAAGTGGTCTTAGTGACCTGGGAGCGTGACCGCAGTGCCCAAGGGACAACTGCTTGAGGTCGGTCACACACGACCTTTTTATGGGCAATTTTTGTGTTAGCTCCGTACTTGTTGAGACCTTACCGCCGGAGACGTATATCCGTGGGATAGGGCAAGGTGTACATTTTTAGGGTCGACCTTTTCTAACCACACCTCTCCTTGTGGAAAGGCAGTATCGCTGTCATGCTGGTTGTCTGAAGGAAACACCTTACTGCTGTCACACCTCTGTACAGTCAGCAGTACGAAGGATGTACAAAATCGTTGGCGTCATTTAATCACTATTTTTGTAGTAAGATTTTGTAAATAAGTATGTTCTTTAGATAGAGAATCTATTCTTATAGCTGGTAGTCTTGTCTTTAATATAATTTTTAATGAGCGGGCATGATTAGTTCAATAACCCACTTTCGGCAACATCGCTGTATTCTATTGATCTGCATTGTATTCGTTCACTTTAACTACCCAGATCTCTTTAATCAAATCTTAACTCAAAAGTGCGGCGAAAGTTTAAAACCAACTTGTATTTTTAGCCTTTGTGAAACGAATATGACTCAAGCTCTGGGGCCTGTAATTTTCAATACTCAACTTCACGTCACCCAACTCCACATCAATTCCTCTTTCGTGTTTAATATATTTGCTATACATTCTTCGATTCGATTCAAGCTTCACTTGTCAGTTGAAAATGTGCTTCAAATTACATGTTAATGTTTGTTAGTGTTCGAGTTTTATGTTAATTTAAACCTTAAGCTTCACTGACTGAAACTCGAAATTCTGATACTATGGATAAGTCCTTAACACGCTTGCAGTTTGAAATAAAACTGACTATTCATCACTGTTGTAAACAGTGACCAAGATGCTTCACTGACATATATATATCGTGTGTTTTTCTTGGAGTTATTTATTATTCTATTGTTATTATCTATTTGTTTGTTGTCTGCTTCTTTCTGTAATTTCAGATTTTCTGGCTTCCATTAATAAACATTCATTACTTCGATTGTATTTAAATTGTGTGGTAAGCAAGCTCTTATTAATGCATTTTTTATTCAGTTTAAAACATATATATCAAGTCAATCGAAGCGTCCAAATCACTCAATTGAGATACGCGCAACATTGAAGTTCACGAAGCAACGAATTGTCTAAAATAGCTATTCTTTATGAGGTGTCTACGGCGTTTGCCGCGTCCTACTGTCTGAAATAAAAGCGGCTTGCTGTAATAGTAACATAAAGAGTAATTGCAGTATACGATAGTGCAAAAGACAGCTGTTAGTTGTGCCTAAGTTGGTAACTGTTTATCAACAAGGAAAAACCGAACTAAGAGCGAAAAATGTGAAAACCGTTGCGTTTAAACAAGGGTTAGAAAAATACACAAAATTGTGAATAACTGCTAGAATGATTGGGATAACCTAATTACGATGATAAATACAATAAATGTTATAAGTATACGTGAATATTTCAGAATATTACACAACAAACTTGCGCCACAACATAAGCTCAGAGATTGCGAGGAATACAACTTTTTACTGAATATTAATAAGTAGTATAAAACAATATGCAAAAGAGTGTAGGGGAAGTGTAAAACAGACTTAACATTATATAATACGATAATTCAAGAATACGGGCTGACAATCCTGGTTACTAGATTATTCCTTCAAAATGTCCAACTAATACACTTGAGGACGAATCTTAACTAGACAACAATTTGTTGACACAATTACTAGGAATTTACGCACAATGAATTACAAAGTAGAGATCGATAATTATATGAATTCACAACATAATATGTTCTTTATGCACTTCCTATAAACCACTGTTTGTCTTCGCTGAATACCTACACTTCAGAAATAGATATAGACAAATTTTTTGGGACATTTTATATTTGAAAAAGGTTGTTTATTGACGTATGTTACCAAAACAAATTCATACCCCCATGTCCTCACAAAGAATGGTTTCACTTAGACATGAAAATTTATGTTGATTTCTTTTGATTAACTAAACTGATTTTCGTATCATAAAATTGTTTTATCACGTTAACTTTGATACAAGTTAGTGAACAATAGTAGGTAGGTGGCTAAGCATTCCTCTTTCAATCATTTTATTGCAGGTTGAAACTCCGCTGCATCTATTTCGGTTTATTCGATGTAGTTATATCATAAACGTTTACACATAAAGTGTGGTCCAGTACCAAATACAGAAACATGTACTTAGTCATTCAGTTGCATTTTAATGCAATTTGAAAAAATTTGCTCCAAGATGCTTACTATGGTGAATAATTAACGACTGATTACTTATTCTCTTTCATACAGAGATGTGTTTTAACGGGAAAATAATTGAATTATTTAGACTGCTAATATTAGACACTAGATTATGATAGTTAATTGGATGAAACAGTTTACTCAACGATCCGACCGTTCCATTGAGAAAAAAAAACAGACTGGAACAAAAAATTGTTGATACAGCTAGTAGGTAGTCTGTAATTCGAGTGAATTTTACAATATAACATAATCTATTGTATATTTAGTATAGATGAATATGTCTTTTATCACTCCTTAATAAGTTACAGGTCACTTAATTTGAATAAATATTTATTTGTGCAAGAGGTTCATTTATCTAACCGATTATAGAACCACAAGATTATATCGTATGCATATAAAAATGTATATTTACGGTGTTCTTGTTAAATCCGATAAATAGATAATCGGATCATTTCAAAATACACATTAAAATGTTCGGATTTTCACAAAAAGAGTAATATAATAAGACACTTAATAGGGTTGTAACAAGTCATTTTCTAGATAAAAACCGTGTTGTATCATAAATTACACAATCCTTCTTTATTCTTCCAGAGTTTCCGTGAAGGCGTCAGTAAATTAATACCCAACGCAACTCTTAATCAAAATATTGATCCTTCAGTGTTGGCTCTTGCTGAAGCTTCACGAATGGAGGCTATTACTTCTGATATGTCAACTAGTATTATAACTGAAGATTTATGCTTAAATCCTACAAATCCAATTGACATTATTAATACCGATGAAGAATCTCTATCAGTCTCAGATCCTCTTAATTTTGAAGGCACACAAACTGAAGTTGCTTCCAGTTTGTGTGACAATGAGAAAGATCTAATTGAAAAAGCAGATTCAATAACAACATCTTTAGATGAAGGTGGACAGCAAAACACAATGGTCATAAATGAAAATGTTAAGAAAAATATACTAGAAAAAAGTGGAGAAGATGAGATTGTTGATGATTCTATTGAACAGTTGCGCGCATTTGGCATAACAATATGCAGTAATTTATTGCACTTTATGCCTTTATCAGCTGAACCACTAATCCAACGTACATTAAAGGCACTTACTGGTGAACCGAATTCATTAAATCCTAATGCATTCACTGAAATTGAGGCACATGTAAGTAATAAGAATATTAATACCGAAAATTTGAATATTTTAGTCGTCTGATAAAGACTAACTTCTAAATTTTTCTTGTTAATTGATAACGATATCTGACACTAGGTGATACGAATTGCGAATCCCCTGTGGAATATACGTTAACTTTAGCTCGCAGCTAGTCTGTATGGGGCCGCGCTAACTAAGGATTTCTCGATGTTTTGTCGAACGGTATCTTTCAATGTGGTCTCTCTCATAAGATCTGAAAATAAACAGGCGATCTGTAAAAATATAGGACTACCTTCAATGACATTTAAGTAAAAATACAATCTACGCAAATTGATATCACTAGGTTAATTTTATCTTTACTGTCCGGTGTTTTTCATATACATCAAGTGGAGGCAGTGATATGTGCTAACATTGAAGATGTCTCCACCTTCGTTTACTGAAGTCTATACAATTTACACTATGAAATTTGATACGATTATTCTATCGGTTCATATTTTAATGAACAACAAAATTACAAATTTGTATATGTGCTGCATTTGATGAAATTTGTGAAATGCGTCCGACTTTAAATCCATCTCATTATCATGACTGATCACGAACATTCGCCTTTATTTACTTTCCAAGTAGATTATTCAGATGCGTTACAAAATAGTTACTTATTCAATCCAACTCAATATATGTGACGAAGGCTAAGGCGAACAAGTTGTTAGAGTTAACCTAGTCAATAACCTGCATTCTTAACACGTCTCAAATTCGGAAAGTTGTACAGTTTTTCAGATTTTTTTAAACCTTTGTTTTCCTTTTTTTGTCTTTGTTTTTCGTAAAAGAAACTTGTTGAAATACCTTGTGCTGAGAATTCTAAATTGTACCAAAATATAATAAAGCCATTAATAATAATAATCAGCAAACCTTTAGCAACTTTATACGACAGATGGAAGTTTCGCTTTACAGATCTATCATTCGGAAGCATTAATTCTGATGCTGGTCACAGATATTATAACTCCATTTGACTGTCTGATGGAGTCACCATTCTACATAGAGATTGGAGAAAATAAAAGTGCTAACAAATTGTTTTGATGACAGGTGCATCTAGAGACCTACAGGATCCGGAGACAATAGTGATCCGATTTTCTAAATTATGTGGTGGGACATTCATAGTTTCATTGTAGATGTCCTAAGAAAATCATATTGTCATTCAATTTTCGTTAATAAACGTTAGACTATTACTGATAACAATAACCGCCAATATTTCTTTCTAGCTCGAATCTTCTCATGGTCTTCGCTCTCCTCCGCTTAATTACCACTACTTTTCGTTTGCTAATTTTCTGTGTTAAAAGTTTCTGTTTTTATAACTATATATGTGAAGATGTACCATTTTAATGTACGTGCTTGAGTACTACGTTTTCCCACACTCTCGCCTTCTTTGTGTGTTCCTTCTCAACCTCGTTTATTGTTGAGGGTTATCGTCAGTTTTTATTCTATGGAATCCGTCATAGGACACGTTCGTATTAAAATGAACTCAGTCGTTCCTCAGTTACCAAGATCCGTGGGTCAAAATGAATCTCAATCAAAACAGACAACACTATCTTCCTAAAACGAACACTATGGTGGGAAAGTGATATAGAGGCTTTAACCAGTCCATTGGTCCTGTTCATCTGAGTTGGATCCTTAAATACTGTTACTACCTCTACTACTTGGGACTTACCCTGACAATTCCATCTCACTGTGCTAATCAGGTTTGATAACTCAAACCAATGTACCTATATGCCAGTTTCTACTTTGTATATGACTGACCGACTGTTTAGTTAACAAATAACAATAACAAAAACCTAGTTTTGTTAAAGTAACAATCAAAATGTATCAAGATTTTAACTCATTCTTCATGTTATAGTGTGTGATGGTTGAACAGCCACTAATAATAATTGCCATTTAAAGAAGATATAGTACATTGATTAAGTGTATATATTCATATTTATTTTTGTATTTACTACTTCGTAAATAAACGTTTAGTGGATAAAACTTACCTCCCGGCTATTTATCTCTTGCTTTTCAGCATTAGTTCATTTTAACCGTTACATCGATAGTTTGATGTCGTTAGAAATTATCGCTCTGCTACACCGTATCATTGCACATCATCGTCTATTGATCATCATTCGTCTTATTCCCTGATTAACAGACATAAACCGTCCATTGTCAAAAATCATAGAATTTGTTTCCATTAAATTAAAAACTGATTTCAACTATAGGATGGGGAATTTAAATCCGGATTTCAGATACTCTCTTTCTGGCCAAACCAAAATATTTGAAATGGTGGCTGCATTTGTTACAATATGGTTGAAAATGATATGGTTTTGGGTATCCTGCCTTTCAGTACTCGTGCGATTTATTATAATAATCAATAACTTGCCTTAGACTCTGGTCATAAATTGGACTTTGCAAAGCAAGATCGTGGAGCTTGGATTGTTAAGCAAATGAATCTAAGTAGAAAAAAGATTATAATAATGATTCAGTAGTCTAGTGTATCTCAATCTGATATTACAAGCATAACGTCACTTGGTTAGCACGTTCATACCTATGCATTTTATCTTAGGCCTCTTGTGATCAAGGCTAGTGATACCGTAGTATCTAGTACTATATCAAGCCCACATGGGTTATTCTAGCTTCCTGACGGACCAATTTGTTGATTGTTCTTGAATCACATTTTGACCTCAATTGTTGGCTTATTAACCTTGACTGTTTTTACATGAGCGTATGTGTGTGTATCGCGTACCCTATTCATTACATATCTAGTTTATTTTTGTTTGGGTATAAATATTGAATCATTCTTTATCAAATAGAATCAGCAAACTGGCCTCCGCTCTTCATTCTTAATGTCTGTTTGGATAAACGGTCTCTTGAAGTAAGTCCATCCAACGCAACCCGTATTTGACTTCTTATTGCCACCGTCACACAATCGGGGTTAGTCTAGGCAATATACGAAGTTAAATGGCAGTTTTATGATCATAACATATTAATACGTCCATCCAAATCGTTGTCAGATCAAGGATCATAGAACACTACTCAAATACCCAAACTAAACTCGCTGAAGCGCGGTTTAAATATACCGTCTACACCTTAATAGCTGAGAACTCCCACGTCTAGCTAATGAGTTCCTAATGAAGCGAAACATGTTTTCTTTTACATTACTTTATCCTTATTTGGCTTCAATCAAGGTTTCTAACCAAACGTTTTACATTTAACAGATTGTTAACATTCTCTCAGGTCCCGATTGTTTTGGTGCATTTAAACGTAGTAGTCAGTATATTCATCTTTTGGCTGAGTTAGATTTACTCAAGGAACCATTAGAACAATCTTCATCGTCTAATTTTATATCCGTCCCTTCCATTTCAAATGATACATTACCTCAAAGTCAATCTCAATCATTATCTCAACCTGACAAAATGACTGTTTCAAGCGATTCTGTAATTCATAATGTTTCTTCCTTATCTCAAATGTCATGTTCTGCGAATTCTGTTGAAGATTGTACAGATTGGAAATGTATAGAAAATGACTGTTCTAAAGGTAATATTTTACATTTTTCTCAGTAAGTGGAATAATCATAAATAAGCATTTACAACAACGACAAAAATCGACTCATGATTTAACTATTAAATTAGCACAATCCCCCATTCTGATAACAATTACCGTGTACTCACTAGTGACTGGCTTCAAGATGCATTTCCTGATATTCTAGTAGAGTTCAATCGTGTCTGTCATGAAGCAGTTACTCACTAAAGACAATAGCGACCTGTCGCGCAATATCGTAGATGGGTTTAAGTCTGGCCTTAACTCCGTTGGATGCCGGCTGAATAGTCTAGAGGTTAAGCATTTGTGCTCGAAACTAAAGGTCCTGTGTTCGAGTCCCACGTGCGGAATCGTAGACACCCGCTCTTGAGGAGTCCTGTACTAAGACGAAACGGCAGTCCAGTGCTTCCAGGTTTTCAATGGTGATTTGGCTTAAATCGACTCATGAATTCAACTATTAAACAAAAAAGAGATAAAATTATACTATTTATTCAAGAATCTGTCTGATGTTTATCATATTTATGAACGTTAGGTGTTTAATTCACTACTGATAAATTGATAATGTCATGGTGAGAATTCCTCATATTATAATCTCTCAACTGGAAAAAGATTCAATTAAAAGTACTACTATTTGTAATATTTGAATGGTTGGTCGATTTTTACAAATGTTGTTTTTTTAGGTTAGGAAATAAAATATACTGGGAGGTTACATTATATATTGTAATGTATTAACTAGTTTCATAGTATTAGATTCTGTTCAATAATTCTTATGTTTGAACTATTTACCTCCAATAATGCAGCATCGCTGAAATCCCGATTTATGACTTTTCTTATCTGAACATATAGCACCCAAGTTATATTGTTGAATCTATTGAATTGTGTATTAACACCACAATTTTTACCAATTTAAAATTTATGAATCCAGTGAATATTAATACACTAAGTTGGACATCTGTCCCCTCACCATTGAATTCTATACTTTCCGCAAGATAGATTCATTAGAGATGTTCATTAAAGCTTCTGAATAAACAGTTTTGTCATCAAATCCCAATACATGTCTCACCAACTATATCGTATCTTGGCTTACGTTTATTCTCACTGTGTGAACTACTCTATTTAGTCAATTAGTAATTAGTTGATTGAAGAGCTATGAACCAACGTAGCCGGTTTCTCTGTTAATAATTTGCGTTTAAGTATGCTCGTTTACTCAAAGAAAAACTTATTTTTCAGATTAGTGGTCTTGTATTTGATTTCATATACAGTCTCGTGAGCAACCATCACTCAGCTATATCGTATTATTCCATAGAATTTAACGACCAGAATTCATTTACTTCATTTTAACAATCGAAGATTTATCACTGATATTCAAAGAGTGTGAAAGCATTATTATCTAATGAATGAGTTTTTACCGTATTTCTTTTATTCTTTGGAGGGATATATAAACTTTAATAGTTTTGTTCCTCAGTTCCTCACTTTGTAATATAAACAACGAAATTCAACAATCTCCTCGATCTCACATACTAATAATATTATAGCTTTATTTATCAGTTAAATTACTATATATTTTCCCCTAAACAATATACCCGTATGAATTATTCATTTGACGAATATTTACTGACTTTTTTTCTTCAGAAACGAAACAATCAGGGCTGCCAAGATTATCGGAACCTCCTGTACGTGAATGTGTTTTGCTTAATTACATTTCGACTTTTCTGTTATTCATAATCAATCAAATTTTTATTTAATATGCTTTTCTAATATCTGATTACTTCGTAATCATAGGATCAGGATGGTATCAATGACATTTTGCATAACTAAATGGGTTACAAAGTTTTCGTCAAGTGCTCCCATCGATTTTGTAGATGTATTAAGAACTAGGTGGCATTGGATAATAATCTTGTCCCAGTTTGAAACTTCTCGACAGTGAGAGCACTCATGACTCTATGAAGACGATCAAATTAACAACTGTCAGATCTTGTTACGGATTCGACCTTATTAGACCACTGTATCGTAGTTCAGTGTTTACATTTTCAAATTCAGTCACGATTTTTATCCCAGTGTCATCGGTTAGTTGCTAAGGTGCTTTCAAATTGGTTAACTCCGCTTGTCATGTGTTCATTAATTACATAGTGCTAACGGATACTGAGCTTCAGAACTTAATAGTTGTTGATTGTTTTTCGGTTTTTAATGGCTGCACCTCTATGATGCCAATCAATAATGAAGATGATCTTTAAAAATGATTTCTTAGGGATACTAGATCCCCAGAAATTAATTGCTTCACGTTTTATTTTCGTAATTTTACTTTTGAAATTTGAATTTCTCGTCGTCGCGCCAAAAGCGCTCAATTTTTTCTTCCAGATTGTATTTTTCACTTGAAAGGACCCTACATGTCATTGGTTGGTTGCCTCTTTTAGTATGCTATTTTGTAACGTTTCCCAAGGACATATATATGCTCTCTCTCTCTCTCACAACAAGTATATATATATATATATATACTTGTTGTGTGCTTGTTGTTGTTCGTGCTTCTGGTTGCTTGTGGAATATACTTTCCTTTATCTAAACCTGGACTTCTCCCTCTAGTTAGCGGAGCTGGGATGCATTATAATAGTTTGGCTTGTCTTGTCCTTGTGTCGCTGATCCATCGTTTCGTTCACCGATTTAGAGTGATCTATTCAAACGTAGAATTAATGTTGTTTTGTTTGCGGGGCATAATGTTTAATAAAGAAATAAATGCAGTTTTAACCAATCTGTTCACCATATTATATTCTCCATGGTTGCAATACAAAAATGACATAATTCGCTGAATTCAAACTACAGAATTGATCATTCATTCGATTACTAATTCTTTCTCAGTTTTACTTCACTATGTCAGTCATGAAGTTGACTGTGATTTCGTCGATTTATGTGTATAGGTTGTTGCCGTAAAAAGTTTTTCATTTATAAATCACTTTCCAGTATAAATACTCTGAAGTTTCGTATACTAACTTAATAACACAATACACGTTAGTTGAAATAAAAGTTTTAAACTTTGTCTCTGCTTCAAATCAAGCTCATCGTTAGTCCGTATCAAGTGGTTTTAATTGTTTATGAAATTATATTTTAAATGTTTGTATAGTCGTTAGACAGATAGCTTGGGTAAAAAAATTTAATCATTGCGTGTGACATTGTAATTTTCAACCTAGTACATAGATAAATACCTGGTTATCATCTTATCTTTCTTCAGTATCGTGTCGTGTATCATTTAAAAGTATTCTTTGGGTTAAATGATTTACTGGTTAGCAATGTTAGAAGCCCTCAAATGCCTTGGTACGGCCGAGGGTGGGGAGAGTCAGCTCTCCCTCTTGAAATGCTCTCACATGACCACGCGTATACAGCCACTGACGGGGAAGTACTACTCACGGCTTTCTCGCGGCATTACTGTTATTTACGAAATTAAGAGGACAAAACAATTGTAATGTACAAGGTGGTGGGATTTTTGGCAGTAAAAATATATACTTTAATGAGTTCTGATATATTTTCATTATTTGGAAACTAAACATGATTCTTGTAAAACTTGCTAACTTTTCTGCTACATTTCGTTTTCCTTCTTTGAAAAAAGATCATTTCAACAACAAATAATACTGGATGTGGGGTTTTTGATGATGCTTATACAGCTGTCATAACTCGGGCAGGTAATTTATATGTTTCTGTTGACTAAACTAGATTATTTAAGCCTAAAATTTCATGTATATGGTAGTCTTTGTCTCGGTTATACGTAGTGTTTGTTCATTAGCAGCTTATGTGTTATACCGTGCGACTTTTTACGCAGCTGTTGATTCAATTGTGTTATAATTATTATTATTTACCTCATACTACAGTCATCCATAACTGACTGTAGCTGCTACATGGATGTGGTTATCGCGATGCCATATCGCTATGACTTAATTTAGTTGTATTGGCTAAAATACATGTTCATTTAAGTCTTATCATGCCAGGCAAGTTGGTTAGAGAACAGTTAGGCCAAAAGCAGCAACTTAAGGTCCAATCGTGCTACTGACCGTACCGGCAGTAAGATGTTTTCCACAAACAACCAGCATCTGCAGCGATCATCCTTCCTCACAACGAAAGGATAGGGTTAGAAAATGTTAACCCTAAAATTAGTCCATCTCATCTTCCTCCAATGATTTTCTTTATAGTCAGTAAGAATTGCAGGTACATGGTTAACACAGCATAAACAACTCATAAAAATCCCGTTTTATCGGCCCTAAAGAGTTTATCCTTGTGTATTGTGGTGCAGCTACCTGGTTGCTAAGACCACTACTAATCCAACTCAAGAAACGTCTTTCCATGGTGTATGCAACCTGGAAGTGACAACTGTTTTTAACAGCACTCGAGTGCTCATTATTTACAATTTGAACCCTTCAGTTATTACATTTAGATGTATATTTAAGATTTCGATTGTTGAATCTTTGCGCAAAATTCAAGATGCAGTGAAGATTAGCTTGTATTTAATCGAGAGCTAAATACGAATCAAGTTATGATAACATTTAAAACTAATAAACATAGAAAAACTAAAGAATAGCGGACATGATTCATGAAGCCTTAAAGCTAAATTAAAGGCTCTTTATTCTTAAAATCAAAGAATTAGCTGAATAAATATTCATCTATATCCCTACATTCATCATGAATAAAGCATATTTCTACCGGAATTTTTTATTAAATTACATTTTACATTTATAAACCAATTTAACTTAATAAACATAAAACTAAATAAGTTATTTGCATTCATTTTTTTCTCTAGAAATAATGCATGATTCTTATGTAATTTATACTATAAAAGTTACACGTACTATACTATCTAATGCTCAGTCAGAATGTTGGAATACTTTACGTCGTTTCAGACATTTTGTTGAACTGCACTCGTTTCTTACAAATAGAGTAAGTTATAATAGAAAAATAAAGAAATTAATGAATTTATTGTTTTATTGAAATCATGAGTCAATTGAAGCTAGACCATCATGGAGAACCTGGAAACACTGGACGGTCGTTTCGTCCTAGTATGGGACTCCTCAGCAGTGCGCATCCACGATCCCGCCTCCTGCAAGATTCGAAACCAGGACATATCAGTCTCGTGCGCGAGCGCTTAACCTCTAGACCACTGAGCCTGCCAGTATCCAACGGTGTTAATGTCTAACCTCAATCAATCCACGAAATCGTGCCACCGTACACCATTGTCTTCAGTGAGCTGATATATCACAACAGACGTGGTTGAACTTCACTAGATTGGTTGAAGTTAGATATTAACACCGTTGGCTGCCGGCTTAGTGGTCTAATGGTCAAGCGCTTGCGCGCCAGACTGGTAGGTCCTGGGTTCGGATCCTGCGAGGCGGGGTCGTATATGCGCACTACTGAAGAGTCCCATACTAGGACGAAACGGCCGTCCAGTGTTTCTAGGTTTTCCATGATGGTCTAGCTTCAAATGACTCGTGATTTCAAATATTGAAATTACTAAAATCTTCACAAAACCCCTTCTGATTATTGTTTTATTGTTTGTTTTTGTGATTAGTGACTAAAGTCATAATTAATTCAAATACGATTTACATTCAATATTGGTTTGTCTTCCTTAATATATATTAATATTTAATCAAATTTTCAATTAGTAAACATAGCCATATATCTTTTGGTAAACAACAATCAATATTTATTCATACATATAGTTCCCTTTATTATCTTAAAGAGAGCAAGAATGAAGATTAGTGAAGAATAATATGAATGCATTTTATTTCGTTAGGTTCCCATCATTCATCATATTATTCTGCACCAATCTTTGTTCTTGCTCTCTTTAATATTTATTCAATAAATTATACATTAATTATTGTTATACACTACTCAGTTTAATCTAATACAAACCTGACTATGAATTACTTTATTCAAATATAATTTTTAATTTATTTTTTGAAGTCAAATATATCCTCATCAATCATCTTCATGTTTTTACTTAAGTAATCGAATTCTTGATATTCAGGAGTATGTATCAAGTCAGTTAAGTATTCACTCGAAACAACATTTATTGTTTATGCACTCTAAGTGTACCACTTAATGTTGAGCAGATATTTGATTTCAGTTTAACAGTTCATGAATAATAACTAACTTCGTGTATTCTTCACTTATCTTGGGAATCTATCAGCCCTTGTGGTCTGGTTTGTGACGAAATCTTAGCACGGATACAGAAGGCTCGACTAGCTTTTGCCAACTTACGTCATTTATGGTGTAGGCGAGATATCCGTCTACCAACCAAAGGACGTGTTTACTGCGCAGCAGTTCGTTCCGTCCTACTTTATGGCAGTGAAACATGGTCGGTAAGAGTAGAGGATATTCGTAGGTTACTAATATTTGATCATAGGTGTCTTCGAAACACTACTCGTATATCCTGGGACCATGGAGTATGTAATGCAGTTGTTAGGAAACGGGTACTAGGTAAGGATGGCAAATCAATTGATGAAGTAGTGAAACTTCATCAGTTGAGATGGCTCGGACACGTGTTACGTATGCCCAACCACCGACTGCCTTGACGTGCGATGTTCAGTGGAATAGGAGTAGGATGGAAAAAAGCTAGGGGCGGCCAGACCAAAACATGGCACAAGTCCATGAAGTCACTGACAAGTGGTCTGAGTCATGTTGGTTGGTGTAGACTACCTGGTTGGGGACCGTGAGATGATAGCAATCGATGGTTAGAGACCTTGAATGATATGACTCGTTTGCATTGGCGCAGGTGCATCCACTCTTTGTGTCCTCCCAAATTCTAATCTTCTGAATTCTTCATGTCTTTCTTTTTTCTCTTTCCAAATTTGTTTCACTCGATTATACTCTTTAAATAACATCTTCAAACCCGAATCTTTCCGATTACTGCTGATACTCTTACTACCTCGACCACTACGTGATTTGAATTGACGACTGCATCTCTGTGCTAATGTGGTGTGGCATCTTGAACTGATGTACATACGTACGAAGTTCTACGTTGTTACTGACTGACTGACTGAAAATTGTGTATTGAGGTAAGTATATGGTTCGTGTTTAGATCTGAAACCCAATGGTTGAAATTCGAATGATTTAGCCATTGAGTTGCCACTTGTCGATGGTTGTTATTAAAACTTGGGATTTTTCTTTCCAAATTTACAAAATTGATATGTGGGAGAGGATGATAATCATTGATTGTTTGTTTAGTCAGACTAGTAGTCTGGCAGGTACTAGATTATTTATATATTCCCTCACCCTTATAATTACTGTGATTGTTGTCGGTTTTTGGGTGTGGAATTATATTTACGTTCTAGTCAGGCTAATTACGCGTTCTTTATCTGAGTTGTATTGAAATCCTATAGAGCAGACACTGGGACCGAGCGTTATAACAAAAACTAAATTGTTTATCGTTGATTTATGGAGCGATAATGCAATGGTTCAGTTTTTTAACTTTCAGAAACTTGTTCTGTCTACTTCTGTTTAACGCACCGATTAATAGTATCATTATATCTTACGTACTCCGAGTATGACTCAAAGTTAAGTATATGAACCTGTACTCCTATTAAATGGATTAATATAATTTAAACATTGTTCTCTATATCATAGTTAAACATTATTTAAGGGAAACGTATACTCTTACCATAACATTTTATCAACTTTTTTTAGTGTGGTCGTATCACTGAACTCAAATTACCATCGAAAATTGCATTTAATAACATGAGCCCTGAATTTTTAGCACAACGTCGACGTGGACTTAATGTTTATTTGAATGTAAGTTTAGCTTTATGTAATCCTAATAAATTTTAACTGCTAAGAGTTATGAGTTGGGTGTTTTGAACTAATTCACTAGAAAAACAAATCAAATACATTAATTACAGTTCTACAATCAAATGTAAAATCCAGTATTACGATAATGCATGACCACTCAAATATATAAGGTAAAAGATGGAAATAGTTCAATTCCAATTTAGTAACATAGTATACATACATTATGAACTAATTTTTATCCTTTTGTAAAATGGAAAACATCGTTTCATCAAGAGAACCAAACATAGTTATAGTGGTACTTTATAGTTTTATACATTTTTCGATATATTTGCCAATCAAAATAAAGAGAATTCAGAGAAGAAAATTTTTGTTTTCAACGAAATCATTTACTTAAGCTGTACATCTATATATAGTTATATGGATAATATATGTCATAAATTTATTCGAGACTAAATATCAAATGAGGTTACGCACTAATTAAGGGGTAAGAAAAGATTCTAAGGATGATTGACAGATGTGAAGAAAAACTACAGACATGAAGTTCATGATAATAAAAACTGTATAATAATGAAGAAAACTTGTGGTAGGATGGAGGTTAGGGGTAGTCAACAGGATACCCTGAACCTATGTTTCGTGCTATTTAGTATTCGTCCAAGTACCGAATCTACTAATAATATGGCGGTGTTGGATAGCCAGAAGTAAATGGTGATTGGTTGTTGTTTCCAAACAATTTGAAAGATGGTTAGGTAGATATCTGATTTGTCATCTATATTTTTCTACTCACTGTATTTGTCATGTTGATCAATAATATACGTGCTAGTTAGGTGGATAAAATATCCTTGATTTGAGTTGCATTGATATTTAATTGATTAGTCACCGGCTGAGTATCTAGTGATGTGAGTTAATCGTATACCTATTAGAATCGTCCGATTGTTCGTTCCAGAAAATACCTAAATGACAAATTTACTGCCTTAGATACAATTCAGTTAGTCGTCCACTGTTTATGTCTCCTATAATATTTATTTCCAATTTCTAAATCTGTTTCATCGTTACATTTCAACATTCCCAGTCACTCCAATTATTTATTCTTCAATTGAGTTGTGATAACAGTTAGATAATCCTTAATTTATTAAATGAATACTTTTGTATCTAATTACCTTTTATTGATATCACAGTTGGATATTAAGTCGATTTACTTGTTTGCCTAGTTCGTGTTAGTCATAAGCAGTGTAAAACCTGACACATCCTTTGGTTTAAGTTGCCCCATTGTATATAGACATAAATTATCAAAACAAATATCAGAGTAATAGAACTAGTAAGAGTATCAATAGTAGTGGTAAAATTTCGACACAGGCACTATGAGTCGAAAGGAGATAATAAATTAATATGATTCTGAAACTCAAGAATTAAGAAATGACAAAAAAGTAAATGCATTCACGCTATTCCGACTGATTCTGAGACATTTCACTTGTAGTCTCCAACCATTAGTGAAGTTATTAGTGCGAATCCGAACCGGGTAACCTACAGCTACTAACTTGTATTAGACCAAAATTCACTAAGTTTATAGGCTGATGCTACGTTTTAATTTAACCGCCTCTAACTTTCTTCCAATTTACTACACCAGCCAGCATCCCACACTGATGTAGACGATTGTTAAACATACATGACATCTGTTTGTGCAATGAATGACAAGACTGTAGCAATAGTCTGGTTAGATAGTTTCGTTCAAAGTACTTATTTTTATTTTTTAGATTTATCCATTTCGATAATGCTTAAGCTGATTCACATTAGGAAACTCTGCTATTTGTAAGGATACGGTGAACACTAAAGCCAAAACGCCACGCAGTGTTTAAAAAAATATAACACTATATTGCTAATTTTCTGTTATTTTTATTATTATTTATTTATCAATAATAGACATTATGTAGCAGTGAATTTCAGAATAATCATCCAGGTAGTCGTCCTTTGTGCGTTGAATTTCTACAGCCTGATAGCTGGGAAAGAGGTCATGTTGAAGCACGTATTGTAAGTTCTTAAAATTTATTGTAATTACTTTGCATGGTATATATATATATCTGTAAATATATTAGGTTGGTTGTTAACATGCTAAATAAATTTGTCTTACACAGTCAGATTAGAAGCAAAATCTTCCGTGTTACCAGTTATGCAACTCACCACTTTATAAACTTCCAAACTAATAGATTACGAACTTCATACACATAGTTCCCTTTATTATCCTAAATAGAGCAAGAACAAAGATTGGTGCAGAATAATATGAATTCATATCATTCTGCACCAATCTTTGTTCTTGCTCTATTTAAGATTACAAACTGTTTATACAAATTATACCACGATAGTGGCTTTCAACTTAAAACTTAGCTATGGTGTTTGTATGAACTAATGATTCCTTTGTACTTGATGAATGCTTGATTTCGAATTCCAAATACAATACGTTCGTTAGTACTCACCTAGTTCTGTCTACATAGATTGCAGTATTTCAGGAATTCCTAATTTCAAAATGGGTTATGTGGAGATTTTTTTTAGAAATTTCATAGGTTGAAATCATGAGTCAATTGAAGCTAAACCATCATGGAGAACCTGGAAACACTGGACGGCCGTTTCGTCCTAGTATGGGACTCCTCAGCAGTGCGCATCCACGATACTGCACCCACGCGGGATTCGAACCCAGGACCTATTTCGGGAATTCCTAATTTGTACAATAATTCAAATACTTTTAATCATCACAATAACCCTATAGTTCACTTCTTAGAGTAACCTTATTTGAACAACCATTGCAAACTAGGAAGCACTGGACTTTTCCCAGCAAGGGAATTCCTTACTGTTTGAATCCGCAATCCGACTGGGATCGAACCTAGGACCTTCATATCGCAGCTAGCGCTTAACCTCCAGACCATTAAATCGGCTCCCAGTAATTTGCATTTCTAACTTCATGGTTCTCAATGGTTGCTTAACTAAGGTCGGTATTAAAACAAACAAACTCATTATACTGGTAAATAATAAGCACCAACAGAAATGAATGAATACTTTAGAAACAGGATTAATAGTTTAGCAGTTGAAACACTTCAGTTTTGTTTGCTTAATCTGCAGGTACAACTTAGTTCCACCATCCGTTTAGGCAGGCGGTTTTTATTATTAGTAATCACATATAAAAATCTAATTCACAAACTTCTACTAGGTTATCACTGAGTTGTGATATTTTCTTAAGAGAGAATCAAACTGATTAGCGATGATAATGGTTATAATAGCATCTTGAAATCATACATTCCGTTATTATTATTAAGAAGTTGAATTATATGTATGTATACTTCCTTCAATGTTCAGATAAACATTATTTTCTCATTTTATCTTGCGATACAAGAAAATAAATTCTGTTTCATTATTTGTCATAGGTCTCTGCAATTTTAACACCTTTTCGTACAGTTAGCAATGCTATGATGTCTGTTCCAGATACATTAGCTGATGGTTTAAATAAGATATTCGCAAATAAAAATTTTCCAACATCTAATTCACCTATTCTTTCTCGTAATGATGAAATGATGAAAAAATCCAGTGAATTTGAATTACAAGAATCATTGGATATGTCATTAGAATCATCAAAGAGTTCTGATTCATATGATTATGTAAGTATAGAGTTTATTTATACTAATTTTCTATAATTTTCCAATATATATATATATATATGTTTGTGTTATGTCGCCGCAAGTTTCGAACTATAAGTCGTCATCAAATTTTTAGTCTACAACTCTACAGTTATGTGACTGGGCTTTTCGACTAGTATTCAGTTTCATTTCATTCACAAATGTGTTTGACCTGATTGTTACGTGAATGAAAGTGATTTAATTAACTGTACTTCACACTAATTATCGAATGCGATGTTTTCTTCTCAATCAAAAATTGAACAGAACTATATAAAATAGAGTGAATGTTTGATTCATAATTAAAGTGTCCCCATTTGTCCTAGTTGTAAGATTCCGTTATTCGTGTAGAATCTATACAAGAATTCTAATTCAAATATTAAGCTACCTAAAAACTTAAAGGCGATTTGTCTAGAACTACGTTATTATCATAAAAATAATAATTGAATAAACAATCGACTTGGGGAAGTCTGACAATGAAGTGTCATAGTTTTAAATCACATTTCCGAACGATAACTCTAATGCCTGATCTGTGCCTTTTAAATTAATGATTAACAGTAACATCACAACATTACTGCAGCACATGACTTTATCAGATAGAAAAACGTCAACAGTTAAATATGTAATAAAGAGTCTAAGTATTCCTACCGTTAGTGAGATGGTGGAGAAGATTTGTAGCTCAGGTGGATGATTTTGATGGAGTTTTGCTTTCTGATTTGGATATTTTGGTCGTGGAGCTTTCATCGTTCTTACTGTTAATGTTAAGAACTGTATTTGATGAGTCTTCGTTGAAGCGAAACATATTGGGTTCAAGTCCATGTGTGAACACTGAGTTTTAATTGATGTGTCCTAAATAGAACAGAATACATATCCTGTATTTTACTGCTAACCAGAATTCAATTGTACTAAATCAATGAGTTAACAAAGCTTACGTCGGAACTGTGTTTGAAAGAATAGATGGACTAAAAGTGGACAATAAGATTTCAAAAGAAATGCGACTGTCTTAGGATTGAGATTCCCTTCTCCCTCATCGACATCAGCCATCATTTAGAATAGCTGTGTTTTGTAAACCTAGATCAAGTACACAACATTCGATTAGTGAATTATGACGGTAACTAATTCAATACTTTTTCTCAAAATAATTTATCAACCATTTTAATTTGTCATATGTTATGTGTTGATCGAAGTAAATCATGACTGGCTAATAATGTCCAAGGACATTGAATATAATAGAATAACTTATGTATAAAGCTGATTCCAGTTTTGTTCCATTTTGAGTCCATTTTTTGACTGCTCCGTACTGTGTGTGTTCATGTACTCCTATATTCTGACCTATATCTAGCTCTTGATCATTTGATTAAACAGTAGATTTAAGTGTCGACTGTTCTACTTAGATAGTGATGTGTGTCATATGCTTCATCAAGTGATAATAGAATTAGAAATATAAATCTGCATTTTTCTATCGTGACAATATGTTGTGCAGTTTGTATTCTATGTATGATTATAAATCATCTTAACTTTGTTCCGTCTCAACAAAAATGTCCATTTCAGTATCATTGACTCATGTTTACCCCACATATTCGCATTCACTGAACTTCTTGAAATTTTCTTGTTTGGTTATTTTGTTTTAATACTTTTTGTAGAATGTTCGAGATGAAACACCAATTCGAATTTTATTCTTATTAGTCGATGAAATATTTGATTTACATAGAGAAAGTCAATTTACTAGACAAGGAAATTTTGCTATTTTACGCAAAATATTCCAAACATTTTTTGGTATTCGAGTCAATAAAATGATCATTGCTAAAGTGAGTTGTAACATATGCATGTGCTCTCGTTTCGGGGCTGATCTTTATCGTACTGTTTAGATATCTTATCATATTACTTATGCACAGTGGCTGTTATATTTTAGGCTGGTGAATAATCAGCTATGAGATGTCGTAATTACGTGTGTATATTGATAAACAATGCACACTGCAGCAGATAGGCTCTTTATAGTTAGTATAAGATTTAAAACAAAAATTTTTTTATTGAAGCTCAGTTATTTATTATTTGAACACATAAAAATTGGTACAAGAAGGCATAAAATATATATGCGCCACAGAAATCTCATTTGATTTGTGTGTGGGCTATGATACTGCCCGGGTGCCCAAAACGAGGCGATTGGTTTTCTTGGGGGCCACATCCGGAGCCTACCTGAAGGTATGATCCACAAGGCAATGGAGTATCATGAGGAGATGCAGTCCCATGGTAGCCGGTGACCAGCAAATTGTTCATACGCCATTTGTTTCCATAGGATACTGGAGCCCATGTGCACCATTGGTTTGGAATCAGGGTTTTTCAACTACCCTAAGTTGACTCTCCGTGTCCACCAACCGGGTTAAAGCACCTGAGTTTCGCTTTTCGTCCTGTTAATTTCGTAAATAACAGTAATGCCGCGAGAAAGCTGTGATCAGGACTTCCCTGTCAGTGGCTGTATACGCGTGGCCATGTGAGAGCATTTTGAGAGGGAGAGCTGTCTCTCCCCACCCTCGGTCGTACCAGGGCATTTGGGGGCGTACATATTCGAATATTTTGCTTTATGTTTCACTTTATATGAGTTATTGTTAAACATTACCCTAATATGTGTTCTAATCAATGTAGAGTAGTGAATGAGTCTCAAATATACGACTCAGTGATCAAAAGTCGTGTACTTTCAACACTGAACTGATTTCTGTACAAATAAAGGCTCAAGAAATAAGAAAAGTAGACTTGTTGAAATACTTTGTGCTGATAATTCTATATTGTACCAAAAATATAATATTGAATAAAGCCATTAATAATAATAATTGATTACATCATTATTGGTATGGGTTTGGATAATTCCTTTGTCGACACATGAGTATCGATACATCCAGTTAACGAGTTATAGATAGGACGAAACAGTCGTCTTTGATTCCACTGTTAGCCATTATTCATCTTTTAAGAATATTGATATGAATAATTTTTATGTCCATTTATACAGGAAAACAAAGTTGCTTATCTTTTCCACTACTCAATATTTTTGTTGTTTTAAAAAAGGCTTGTGAATGGACAAGTGCACCAAAAATCACCCAACTGATTACTTATTTACGTGATTATTTTTGGCCTCCCAAAAATAAATCATTAAATTCTACAGCTTTAACTGAACGTGACAAAGAGATGAAATTACGTACTCGTGTTCTTTGTAGAACTGTACTACTGGGAAGTGTTTCTGGTAGGTGAAATGTCTGTTCTCTTTTTGTTCTAAGTATTCACATAGTTGTTAATGTACGGTCAACATTTGTCTACCTTGTTCAACCTTCGAACTTATGCATTAAAATTTCCCTCTAGTGTGACTGACTGCATCTGAACGTTCTCTTTTTTGGAGAATCATTAATAATTTTAGGCCTCTTAACTGTTCTCAGTTCAAGATGGAGACCATAAATCGACGTTGATATTTGTTGTAATTCTGATGCAAAAGCTAAAATTACAGCGTATATTTACCCAATCTATATAAATGTATAGATAAGTATTGCTAACTGATAATGACAAGTATTCAATGATGATTGTTGCTGTGAGGTGCGGTGTTCGAATTCTGATACCAATACACTGTGTGCTATGTGTTAACCCCCCAACTGAACGGTTTTTTATATAACTTTATTATCAGGCTCTACAGTTATAATAATCAAAGCATGCTAGCGATCCTCTCAATGAGACCTGTACGTAGACAACAAATCAAGGATAAGATATTATTGATGAGATTTTGCAGGTGTGTATACTAAGTCACCTGCTCCTGTGCAATGGTTTACGTAGCCGTACTCAGATTTCAATTTTGAGTGCTCTAGAACATGATTTAAGTAAAGGATTTACAAAATCTATTAACAAAACCAAACTTTCTAATTTGATAGATAACAAATATCACGTTAAATGGGTGAAGCTTTCTCAACCCTGTATCGAGTCCTGAACAGGCTACTTAGAGAAGCGAGATTACGACTTATCTTACGTAATGTAAGCCATTGGAATCAAGTCCAAAAGATCTAACTTCAATTTCCAAAAGAGGTATTTTCAACCACTGTGTTTACTTTGGTTCACTATTGAATCACTAACCAGATGTTGTAAACCCTTACCTTTCCCACTGTGATTCACTTTACGTTTATCTTCTTATTGTCCCATTCTTGATTCACATATGATTTTATTTTAATTACCCTGGTAATGTTATTTTTAAAAAAAAGTTGGTTGCAGTATTTTTTGTTTTCAAATATTTTCATATTCTCCCCATTTATATCCTTTATGTTATCTATTTTTCCATCTGTTGCCGATTCTTTCTTTCGGTCACGCTCCTATGTCACGTAGATCACTACTACTAACGTTATTTCTTTTTAGGCACTTAAAGAAAGAGTATTCTTTCTCAGTGTATGCAACAGAGAAGTAGAGATTGCCCATACATCACCTTTAACAAGGTTCGTGATAACCTTATTCATGATTAAAAACGACTTCTGTTTATCAGCCTTCAGGTATAAATATCCAACATTCTCTAATGTACATTATCATGTGTTAAATCTCACATTTTGAATTGTTCTATAAAATTTCAAAATCCACTAGCATCATCCGTAGAAACATTGAAAACTGGAGTATGTTAAATAGTCTGTTGTGTTTACATTCTCAACTTCATGCATAATCTAACTTAAGATATTTAAGCTTTATCTCAAGCATAGTACCATTGATTTAGTTAGATTTCAATTACAGTTGATTTGTGACTCAATGTGATTTTCATTGTCAATCATTTTACTACTATATTTCTAATTCATTAATATTATAATTTTTCTAGAGGAATTTGCACAATTTCTTGGTAATGAAACTACTCGTCGTGGTGTATCCTGTGTATTTAATATGCTTCAAGAAGAACGTTTCAATCGTAGATTCGTACATACAGTATTAGAAGCATTTCTTTGTCACTTATTTCGACCATATCATGCACATTGGGAAGCTATTTATGAAAAAGATTTATGCCCATTAAAATGTGGACGAATATGTCGTTCGCATAAATCATCTGTTTAAATAAAATGTATACTTTACTTACGAAAAGAATATTTGCTTAGGAAGATTGTTTTTCTTAAAGATTCTACTTCTTGTTTATGTCAAGAAAGTATGAAATTCATCCAATGTACATGTGTTTAGTGATACAGTCTTATTATATACATTTATATTAATTAGAGGAATATTTAAAATCTGTTCACAGTTTTCCTGTTGAGTGTATAGATTAATTTTCCAGTTACTTACTTACGCCTGTTACTCCTAATGGAGCATATGCCGCCGACCAGCATTCTCCAACCCACTTTGTCCTGGGTCTTCTTTTCTAGTCCTATCCAATTCTTGTTCATTTTTCTCATGTCTATCTCCATTTCCCGGCGTAATGTGTTCTTTGGCCTTCCTCTTTTCCTTTGACCTTGAGGATTCAATATGAGGGCTTGTCTTGTGATGCAGTTGGGTGCTTTCCTCAATGTGTGTCCTATCCACTTGGAGCGCTTCTTCCTAATTTCTTCCTCCGTTGGGATCTGGTTTGTTTTTTCTCACAGTCGGTTGTTGCTAATAGTGTCCGGCCAACGGATCCGAAGTATTTTGCGTAGACAACTGTTAATAAACACCTGTATTTTCTGAATGATGGCTTTCGTAGTTCTCCAGATACAATCTCATTATCTGTTTATTCTTCTTGCTCTCTTCACTGTCATTCCCTGATTTGACTTTGTCTAGTATTTATTATAATATATTACTTACTAATATTCTAACTATTATGGAAAGAACTTCCTTGGACTACATTATGAGATGTATAAACCTTATAGATAACTTAACAGCTAAATGATATGAAATCTATTACTTACGTGTTCATGAATAACTCTCAGGGTCTATTTGCAATCGAATCGTTTTGATCTGATTTCTTGGATTGTATTGTTATATACAATTAAACTTATCATTAGCTTAACAAATAATAGTCTATATTAACTGTGATCAATATGATTTCATATATTCTATTATAACTTACTCCCTAAATAACTCATATTATAGATCCATTGTATAGAGTGAATTATATGTTTGTTTTTATTTTAATCTTCTTTCAATATTACTTATTATGTTGTATACGTTATAAGTCAATTTAGCCTATTTAACATCATTATCAATCGGTCAATTAATTCTCTTCACAATCCATCTTATTTCAATTGTCTGTTCAATATATGAAAAGTATTGTCTGTAATATGTTCTTCTTTATATATGACAATTTATTATTCACAATGTATGATCTTAAATCATTTGTACAGTGTGTTGAATAGTTCCCGCGTTTTTTCTTTTGGTTTCAATGACCAATCTGATTTTTGTTGACTTTGTGTATATGACTGCGGGGGATGGTGGTGATGAAAGGAAAGATGTTACGTCATCTGTTGTTTTAATTTTGATACATGTTATTTATTTGAATGAATATGTTAGTATTCAATGGTTATCTTACCATAAAGACAACTGTGTTATTTTTCTTCTATTTTCAATATTATTTAGTTATCTGACTGATTTATTCTTGAAGTATCTTTCAGTCGGTTGAATTAATATTTGATTACATGTGCAATAATAAAAATGTATTTTCAAAGATAAGCTAAACATATCAAGACTTTTTTTTATTGAGTAATCAGAAATTCAGGATGGAATTATTTAGTTCCTGTTATATTTCTCTCTTACGGTTATAACCCAGCTATTCCTATTGCTTAGTATTTTTGGACACCGATTCACTCGATAAGTCCCCAAATCAGAACACGGTTGAACATGAAGATTATATTCCATATAACAAGGTTAGATGGAAATAAAAAACAAGCAAACACAATAGGGAAAACGTTAGTATATTTATAGTTTTTACATGAGAAGATTCTAGAGTATTCTCCAACTATCGACTAGTGCTGATTGGATAAAAATTAGCCAATCAGCGTGCACCAAAGCAATCGTGAATTCAGCATGCTTTAATCCAGTCTATGCCCGCAAACAGTTCCTTTGAATAGTGGGTAACTTTTGCCAAGTTTAAAATATTGATCCTTAAGTGTTATACATAATCTATTGAAATGTGAAAGTTAATCTACACGACGATTTAATCGTAAAAATTAACGTTCTAGTTTGTTTTGTTTTTTCCCAAAAATATAAACTGTACAAACCACTGATTTTACTGCTGTTGATTAATGAATAATATGTTGCTCGTTTATGTTATCATCTCTTGATTAGAAAGTTATAAATTGTACACCAGTGAGATCAATTCTGATCCATCTCATCTATAGCTTTCAACCATTGATCAAGCTTGGCATATAATTAACATTTCATATGTCTACCCTACTATCGACCATATCAACTATATAGAAACTGAAATTCTTTTTCAAATACTTAGTTCTACACAAAAGCTTTAAAAAAATGTTATTTCGAAGCTAGATTGACAAACCCTCCAAATAGAAACTACTTCGACAATGAATTTTTTCGTAAAGTTGATTTATGTGGAAATATTTAGTTATCTACAGATTTTTACCCATCAATTAAATATCCATTACCTAGATTTATATTCCTAACGATTACAGTTATTCATATTCAACATAGAGTCTGGCATAAATATGCGCCAGCTCAAGTTGCCTTACCATATCACTACAGCGAGAAGAAACTAACAAGGTGAATAGAAATGGAGTCGAGATAATCACCTGAATGCTTTAGTTTTCTTAAATGAATTATAGATACCATTTATTATTCTGAATCTGGATGGCCAAATACGCCTTGATTGAGTGATTAACCTTGGGCTGTGGCCGAAATCATTTAACTCGTCCTGGTCCAAGTATCCAGTCCACAAAAGAACATAGCAACAGACAAGCTCCTATCCTTGTTAAGTCAATCAGTCATTAACCTAAGCACTCATGAATAATCAGAGCACTATACAAATCAAATGCGAAGTTGTAGTTTATACATAACTGGCGGATAACGGAACAAAAGGTGAATAATTAACTTACAGTAATTAAAGGATAGTAAAATGTATAGCAATAAGTGATGAGTCCAACGGGAGTTTACAATACGGGGAGTGCAGAAATAAAATGACAGTTATTTAATAATTGTACAATAAAAATCTAGATAACAATTATCCGGGAAGTAGTTCCAAAAGTCACTACTTTCCTAACATTCTCTGAGTTACAACAATAGTAGCAGTATCAATTAAAGTGAGCAAGTGAAGAACACGGTCTGAGAAGTAATAATGAAAACGTATGTAGGAACGGATACCGACACTGTCCAGAGGTAGATAAAGAATGAATGCATCTACAACGAGCTCTGTACCATTTCACTTACCCACTAATCGCAAGGTATGGGAATAAGATATAGGCCAAAAGAACTTGAATAAACACGAAAATAGGAGTTTATTCAGTTTTTACAAGAGACAATTCTATTTTTTTATAAGTCTACCAGCGTATAGTAGATCGACTGGTGAGGTTGTGAGTCACTGCGTGTTACGTACACTCAACTAAATCCTACCTTGTGGAGCGTTATTAACTGGGGTAGGAGTAGGGTAAAAAGAAACTGGGAATGGCCAAACCGAGACGTAGCATCAATCCATGCACTCATTAACTATTGAAGTCATGTTAGTAGATGTAGACCAGCTGGTTTGGGCGGAGTCGGTAGTTGGAAACGTCGTATGACATTGTTCAGTGCAATAGATGCATTTACTTCTATGTCCCTCTAAATATTAAGTCCCAGTATTCCTTCATGCACCCGTTTTTATTGTTAGTTTTTGAACTCTATTCTTTACTATTCAGTCCTGCTCACTATTATTGGTGGTATATTATTTCGACTACTTCGCTATTCATCTTGGTAATTTGTTTTTACTATGCTGATCTTATTTGGTGTTTTTGGGAGACATACGATTTTTACCTGATGTGTGACCAGCGAAAGTAAGATGTGACTGGGCACTAAATGAAAACAAAATCCACCGACTTTTTCTAAATGTTGTGATACTATCAAGTGTTGTGGATTCCTTTCTATGATTTAGTTCTACTGACTTAACTGTGGACTAAACTCTGTGTGAATTGCTAGCATCTATTTTAAAACGATGATTTTCTGGTCTGTTAGCTAATTTTCAGTTATTGATCGTGAATTCTATAGTTGGATATAACGTTTCAAGTCATAGTATTATCCTATTGTATGTTGAGTATACAAAAAACATTTTTTTCCGTAACAACAGTATCAGGCTCTGTATCCAATATAACCAAATGATTGTCAATTCTTTTATGGAAAGTACCGGGATATCTCTATATAAAACATAAAGGAAATCGATTAATTCATTCTAATAACAAAATAATTAGAAATGGTGAATATATATATATATAGTGTACATAGTATATTAAAACAATAATAAGTTGATGTTTTATTTCACAAGAATTAATTAATTATTTCTGGACTTAACTACTAGAATCTGGTGATAAATCTGGTTCTTTAGAAGACGCTAAATTTGATTGATATATACGTAAATCTTCTTGATATTTCTTTTTTAATTCATCAACTCTTGATTGATAACCTGATTTTACTGTACTATCCATATTTCGCCAAATCTCTCCAGCAGCTTTAGCTACTTCAGCAACAGAATTTTGTCCATCTAAACTTTTTGCAATTTTCTCTCTATTCTCATTAAACCATAAGAAATAAGCAGAAAGTGGACGAGTTGGTGCATTAGGATCTTTAGGTTTTTTTTGCTTTTTTGTTGTTTGTCGTTTTGTTTCATCTTTACGGGGTTTAGTTGTTGATTTTTTTGGTTCTTCTTTCAATTTTTTTTGTTTTGGTTTAGGTTCACTAGTACTGCTTACACTTGACAGGCTGTCTTCATATCCATCACTATCATTGTCTCGTTTATCTTTTTTCTTGTGTGCAGTAGTATTCTTACTACTAGTGTTACTTTTGTTCTCCTCCGAATCATCATCATCATCGTTGTCTCCAGATTCATCTTCACTTGTTGTTGTTTGAACATTACTATCATATTCTTCTGCAAGTTCAGAACCATCAGATTCCGGTGGTTTGAAATCTTCATCATCTTCATCGTCGTCATCTTCATCATCCATTTCAGTTGTTCGTTCTCGAGCTTCTGTCTTTA